GAAACCCACAGCCTCCAACTGCCAGCATCAGAGATCCCAGCATACAAAGCCAGTGACCAGGCCCCTGGCTCCCAGCACAAGAAGCTTGGGTCAGTGCCCCCTGCTCCCCAGCAGGAGAGCTCAATCTTTTTAAAGGCCAGGAAATAAGCAAACATCATGAGCAAAAAGAAACGTACAATATATTCTTATTATGGGAACAGTGAAGATCAAGGCAGAAATTCTGAAGAGGACAACATTGTCAACAAACCCACACCTGGAACCTGAAAAAGGAATATGAACTGGTCTGAAGCCCAAAAAGCCTTCTTAGAAGAGCTCAAGAAGGAGTTTAAAAGTCAAATAAGAGAGGTAGAGGAAAAATTGGGAAAAGAAATGAGAAGTATGCAAGAGAGAGTCAATAGCTTGGAAAAGGAAGGACAAAAATTAACTGAAGAAAACAACTCCTTAAAAAGCAGAATTAGGGGCAACTAGGTGGCACAGTAGATAGAACTCCGGCCTTGAAGTCAGGAGGACTTGAATTCAAATCTGGCCTCAGATACATGACACTTACTAGCTGTGTGACCCTGGGCAAGTTATTTATCCCTGATTGCCTCACCAAAAAAGCAAAAAAAAAAAAAATTTTTAAAAAGCAGAATTGGTCAAACAGAAAAGACACAAAAACTCACTGAGGAGAAGAATTCCTTAAAAAACAAAATGGGCCAAATGGAAAAGGAGGTACAAAATCTAATAGAAAAAAACAATTTGTTAAAAATTAGAATTGGGCAAATGGAAGCTAATGACTCTATGAGAGAGTGAGAATCAGTCAAACAGAAACAAAAGCATGAAAAAATAGATGAAAACATTGTTCCTCACTGGTAAAATAACTGATTTGGAAAATAGATCCAGGACAGACAATTTTAAAATAATTGGTCTATCTGAAAATCACAATGAAAAAAAGAGCCACGATAGCATCTTTCAGGAAATCATCAAGGAAAACTGCCCTGAGGTCCTAGAACCAGAGGGTAAAATAGCCATAGAAAGAATCCACCAATCACCCCCTGAAAGAGATCCCAAATTGAAAATATCAAGGAATATAGTAGCCAAATTCCAAAATTACCAGATCAAAGAGAAAATACTGCAAGTCAGAAAGAAACAATTTAAACATCATGGAATCACAGTCAGGATTATGCAGGACCCTGCAACTTCTACATTAAAAGATCATAGGGTGTGGAATACAATATTCCCTAAGGCAAAGGAGCTTGGATTACAACCAAGGATCAACTACCCAGCAAAAATGAGCATAATCTATCAGAAGAGGAGATGGGACATTCAGCGAAAATAGGGGACTTTCAAACCTTGCTGATAAAAAGACCAGAGCTCAACAGAAAATTTGATCTTCAAATACAAGACTGAAGAGAGACATAAAAAGGTAAATGGGACAGAAAAAAAACCATGTTATTAATAAGAGCAAACTGTTTATGTGCCTATAAGGGAAGATGACACTTGTAACTCTTGAGAACTGTATTATTATTATTACATCATTTTAAAGGGGTATACATGGGGGGGAGTATAAATTGACTTTGATGTAATGATAAAAAAAAAATCTAATCAAGTGAGTTAAATGAATCTAAGTGGATTAATCTGATCTAACTAATGGAATGTACTGGGAGAAAAGGAAAGGAAGAGGCAGACAAGGGTAAATTACCTTACAGGAAAAGGCACAAAAACCTATTACAGTAGAGGGAAAGATAGGAGGGAGATGAGCATTGTTTAAACCTTACTCTCATCAGATTTGGCTCAAGGAGAGAATAACATAATCAGTTAGGTATAGAAATTTAACTTGCCCTATAGGCAGTAGGAGGAAAAAGAGGAAAGAAAAGAGAGGGAGGATAAAAGGGAGGGAGGAAGTAGTAAGGGTAAAGGGGAAGAGAAGGGAGGGGGCTAATAGAAGGGAGGTGGGACTGAGGGAGGTGGCAGTCAAAAGCAAAACACTAGTGAGGAAGGAAAAGGAGAAAGGAGAAAGAAAAGCATAAACAGGGGAGAAATAGGATGGAGAGAAAGACACAGATAGTAATCATAACTGTGAATGTGAATGGGATGAACTCTCCCATAAAATGAAAGCGGATAGCAGAATGGATTAAAAACCATAATCCTACAATATATTGTTTACAGGGAACACATTTGAAACAGAGGGCCATACACAGGGTAAAGGGAAAGGCTGGAGTAGAATATATTATATTGCAGCTGAAGTAAAAAAAGCAGGGGTAGCAATCCTGATCTCAGACAAAGCAAAAGCAAAAATAGATCTTATCAAAAGAGATAAGGAAGGAAACTACATCCTGCTAAAAGGCACCATAGACAATGGAGTAATATCATTACTAAACATATATGCAAAAAGTGGTATAGCATCCAAATCTTTAGAGGAGAAGTTCAGGGAGTTACAGGAAGAAATAGACAGCAAAACTATACTAGTGGGGGCCCTCAACCTCCCCCTCTCTAAACTAGATAAATCTAACCACAAAATAAACAAGAAAGAAGTTAAGGAGGTGAATAGAATATTAGAAAAGTTAGAAATGGTAGACCTCTGGAGAAAACTGAATGAGGATGGAAAAGACTATACTTTTTTCTTGGGGTACATGGCACATACACAAAAATTGACCATGTACTAGGGCATAGAAACCTCACAATCCAATGCAGAAAGACAGAAATATTAAATATATCCTTTTCAGATCATGATACAATAAAAATTATATGTAATAAAGGGCCACAGGAAGATAGACTAAAAAATAACTGGAAACTAAATAATCTAATCCTAAAAAAAGAATGGGTCAAACAACAAATCATAGAAACAATCAATAACTTCATTCAAGAGAATGACAGTAATGAGACAACATACAAAACTTATGGGATGCAGTGAAAGAAATCCTTAGGGTGGTAGCAGCCACCTTCTGAAATAACACTACAAGTGTGAGTGACAAGTTAGGGGAATACCCCAGTGAGAGTGTTTTTACAGTTTATTTGCTTGGCTTCTTGTGCCCCAAAAGTTCCAGAGCACTGTACAGGCCTTCTGTCTCCCCATCCTAAGATTATGCATTACTTCTTCAAATGAGGAAAAAGGATTCACAGAGAAGGAAAATAACTTGCCCTGCATTAGCTAGAAATCCTGAGACAGACCTAATAACTCTCAGGCAGGCACCAAAACCATCAACCGAACCCAACCATGTATCTGATCTGCCCCTTCAAAGACAACCACAAGAGGGAAATGAAACCACGTGGATTGTTGCAAGAAGGAGAGACTTTGTACTAATTCTATTCTCAATAACTAATCTTTTAAGTCATAATTTGGTATTAGTATAAATTAAGGAGGAGGAGGAGAACAACAACAATGAGTAGATGAACAAGAAGAATAAGGAAAAGAAGAAGGCAAGAGGAGGAGAAGGAGGAGGAGGAGGAGAGGAGGGAGGAGGAGGAGGAGAGGAGGGGGGAGGGGAGGAGGAGGGGGGAGGGGAGGAAGAGGAGGAGGAGGAGAGGAAGAGGAGGAGGGGGGAAGGAGGAGGGGAGGAGGGGAGGAAGAGGAGGAGGAGAAGGAGGGGGAGAGGAAGAGGAGGGGAGAAAGGAAGAGGAGGAGGGGGGAGGAGGAGGGGAGGAGGAGGAGGAGGAGAGGAGGGGAGGAAGAAGAGGGGGAGGAGGAGGAGAGGAGGAGGAGGAGGAGGGGAGGAGGAAGAGGAGGAAGAGGAGAGGAGGAGAGG